TTTTTTTTTTTTTTTTTTTTTTTTTTTGGGCCGGTAGCGAGCCAGGGACCGGCCCTTGGTTGGTGGCCTGCAGGCCCTGCAGCTGGCGTCGTAGGCCGGCCCAGGGTGCAGCCCCGAGCCGCGCCGAATCCGCCAAAACACATGGCTGGTGCAGACCATGCAGACCGCACGGAAATCCTCTCTGAGCTTGCTTGAGCTTGCCTGGGCCTTGCAGCCATCGTGCCACGCTTCGCAGACGAGCCGCCTAAGCGAGCATCCGAGGCGAGTGCACAATTGCTGCAGACCTCCCGCGTCTCAGGCAAAGGTCGTGCTGTATGTCACCAGCAGACCCCTTGCCTTGAACTGCACCCGCCCAACCTTGTTTTGCAGACGGAGGGCAAGACGTGCTTGGAGGGTTCAAAGAGTCGAGAGTGGGCAACGTCATTCAGAGCCCAACAATACAGAAAAGTAGAGAATGACGCCTTTCGAAAAGCGCCCTGTCGGCTCACCCGACCATGCAGCTCGCAGCTTCCCGACCAAGCTCAATCCACCTCTCCTGCTTTGCCTCGCGTGACTGTAGGCAGAGGCGACAAAACGAGGCGGAGACTACGTATACGCTAGTGCCGCAGTCGACAGGCAGGTGAAGCTTGCCAACGGGGCAAACCGCATGCTTTTGTTGCCGGTCATCTGAGCTCGGACGGCTTCCGGATGCGAGGCTAGGGATGACCGCATGGTCGAGCGCTGCCGTCATGCGTCAGGCAGCAGACCGGCACACCACAGCAACGCCAGTCACACCCACGAAATTGGACTGCTCTCGAGGGCGGCCCTCCACCAGCTTGTGGTGCAATGCATGGACGCCGACTTCGCTCACCCGACACTGGTACAGCACCTCACCACACTTTAATTTTACATCCCACCGCTCCCGCTCGAGCCTCCATTTACCCATCCCAATTTCGGGGATCGTCACTTGCCACGATCTAACAAATTTGACTATTCCCTGGCCTCTCTCACGTGACAGGACACTCCGAGATCAACACTCTGCCGTGCCTGCGTCACAAAGCCAAGTCATGGCCGCGGGCCCGCTGGAGAGCAAGGCGCGCGCGCCCAGGCCCAAATAATGCAACTCGCCAACTCGCCTGCAAGTCCAACACTCTCTCGCACTCGCACCTTGCTTCTCCACCATCTTGCGTGTTCCTTGCTAGCTCGATCACTCTTTCAACGTAGACATCGCAGCCACCGCACGTCATGTTCAACAGCAGGGCCTCGTCGAGCGCCGCGATCAAGCGCCTCACCATCGAATACAAGCAGCTCTCCACCGACCCCAACTCGCTCTTCCCCGCCGTCGGCCCGGTGTCCGAAGACAACTATCTGGAATGGGAGGCGCTCGTTCCCGGCCCTGACGGCACGCCTTTCGAAGGCGGTGTCTTTTCCGCGCGCCTCACCTTCCCCGCTTCGTATCCGCTCGAGCCGCCAACCATGCGCTTCGAGCCGCCCATCTTCCATCCCAACGTCTACGCCGACGGCCTCGTCTGCATCTCCATCCTCCATGCGCCCGGTGACGACCCAAACATGTACGAGTCGTCGTCCGAACGCTGGTCGCCCGTACAGTCCATCGAAAAGATCCTCCTCTCCGTTCTCAGCATGCTCGCAGAACCCAACGTAGAGAGTGGCGCCAACATCGATGCTTGTGTAAGTGGCGCTTCGTCCACTTTGCGCCTTTTGTCTTGCCGCTCACATCTCTCTTGCTTTCCGCTGCGCCCACAGAAAATGTACAGGGACAACCGCGAGGGGTACGAAAAGATCATTCGAGACTCGGTCAAGGAACAGCTCGGCTTGTAATTACAACAATCGCACCTCTATCGCATATACCGTCATCCTGCGCCCCGCCGTCTGCTCACGCACACCTTTTGGGGATCGTGATCGCGTCCCCAGACCCGCCACCACACCGCGCGATGAGGCCTCCATTGCTGCATTACGTGGCTCACACCTCGTCGGGTCATATCAGTCCATCCAGTGGAGGAAGAGTAGGGCGAGGCCGCTGCCCACCAGGAAGATGGAGAGGAACTTGTCCGCCTCTCTGCTGCGCTGACGTGCCTTGCGCAGCTCCTCGTTGCCGCGTCCGACCTCGGTGCCCACTCCGATGGCCTCGTCGAGCAGCTGATCCGTCACCTCGCCCTGCTGCTCCAGCTGCTGCACCACCTGCGTCTGCAGCTCGCTGATCTCGTACAGCCGCGACTCGGCCTTCTTGATCGACGCCAGATCCGACTCGAGCGACTTGATGAGCTCCGACGACTCGTTTTCAAACATCTCGATCTGCGACGCCGACAGCTGCGCGCTGATGTCTTTGCCCACCAGATCCGTCTCGCTGTCCAGCTGTGGGTCGAACGAGCCACCCACACTGCCGCGGATCACCGTCGGGGCTGTTGAAGCGGCCGTGGCTTGCGATGCAGCAGCGCCCGCACGTTCCTGCAGCTCGAGCCTCGAGTTGGCCAACGACCGCGTCTTCTCCCTCTGCACCCTCAGCCGCGCCTCCTGCATGTCGCCCTGCAGCGAAGACGCTTTGGACAGCAGCGCCGAAAGGTACTGGGTGATCGAGGCGCGATGCGCCGAAATGAGCGACGATGCTAGGATCGACGTAGACGAGTCGCGTGCGGTCGAAAGAGCGAGCAGACTGTTGAGCGGTGAGAGCGCGGTGGGTGTGGTGGGTGCATTCTTCTTGCGCGCCTCCTCGGCACGCTCGAGCTCCTTGATGCTGTCCAGACAGCGCTTGACCACCACCTTGACCTGGAAGTCGATCTCGTCGCGCTGCGTGTCGTTCAACGGCCCCGTGAAGGCCTTCCATTTGGCAAACGCGGATCCTGCCGTTGCGTCCTGGTCATCTGGCGTATCCATCCCCTCGTGCGCATCGCGAAGCTGGTGGTGTCGTGCCTTGTTTCCAAGCGCGAGGTAGCGTCTTCGTATCGAGAACAGGAAGCCCAGCAGCGAGATGATGTGTTTGCGGATCACGTACGCTTGCTGCAGCCACTGCTTGTGTGCGCGCACCACATTTTCGGGCGGGTCCTTGCGTCTGAGTGCCTTGGAACCGGAAGCACCGGAGGAAGACGGCGGATACTGCCCTGCCCGCTCACTGATGAGCTGGCGGAAGTCTCCTGTCAGGTCCGTCGAAGGAGGCGCCCGCGCCCTCTTGGATGCCGCCATGTGCGATTGCTTGAATCGACACAGTCGACTTACGAAGTCGATGGTATACTCTGATCCTGATCAAGGTGTGATCAGAAGGGACGGGAGTGCAAGTGGTAAGGAGGGCGAGATGAAGCGTGGAAGCGACAGCTGGACCTTCACATGTGGAGTGAGCCGTGCGAATTTGCTGCCCCTTCCCAACGAGTAGGAACTGCCGATCGAACATACCTTTTCAAAGTGGCCCGCGCTCAGCTGTCAACCTTGGCCTAGGAAGGACCGCTGGACCCTTTCTGCCGCAGCAACACCCTGAACACTTCTTTCGCCCCCACACCAGCTTGCTTGACGCCAATAGTTGGCAGAGCAGGAGGCGTGACTGCTACACACATCGGGACCCATGTCGCGCATCGACAGCCTCACCTGGCTGGTCGGCTTCCCCTGCCTGCTGGCCCTGGTCACCTGGCGCACCGTCTCGTGGCCATACACCAAGGTCGAAGAGAGCTTTACCATCCAAGCTGTCCATGACATCCTGAGCTACGGCGTCAGTCCCGCTGCGCTGGAGCGATTCGACCACCAAGTCTTTCCCGGTGCGGTACCTCGCTCGTTTGTAGGCCCACTCGCACTCGCAGCGGTCTCCTACCCTCTTCTGCGGCTGTGCCGGGCCGTTGGAGCGGTTCAGACGTCGGCCGATGTCCAAGTCGTCGTTCGTCTCTGCCTTGGAGCAGCCAATGCCGCCGCGTCTGCTTTCTTCGCGCAGGCATGCTTCGCTTCGGCGAACGACGCCAAGAATACTCGTGGCAGCGTGTCGCTATCAGCGCTCCGACAGCTCGGCTTCTTCTTTGCCATCACCGCGACCCAGTTCCACTTTGGCTTCTGGGTGAGCCGCACCATCCCCAACTCGATCGCCTTGCCTTTCGTTATGATCGCACTGGCTTTGATCTGCCGCAACCTGGACCTGGCCTTCGAACGCTCGCAACGAAGCAGCAGAGACATTCGCATTGCGCTCTGGCTGCTCACCTTCAGCGCCGTGGTTCTACGTTCGGAGATCGCGGCGACGATCATTCCAGTGGGGCTCTACCTCTTGGTCACCGGCAAAATAGGTCTTCTGGGAGCGATCAAGACCGGTCTTGCCGCGGCGACCTTCAGCGTCGCCGTGACCACCTTCATCGACACGTACTTTTGGCAAAATTTGCAGCAAGGTTCGGCTCAAGGCATCCTTGGCGCCTTCACAACGGCGGCCTCTGGGGCATTGCGAGGGCAAGGGCCCCCGCCTTTGTGGCCGGAGCTGAATGCGCTGGTCTTCAACGTGGTCGATGGCAAGAGCAGTGAGTGGGGCGTGTCGCCTTGGCACGCCTACGTCACAGCCCTACTGCCCAGGCTGCTCGTGTTTTCCGAACCGCTGCTGCTATACGGGGCGATAGAGGCAATCTCAGCTCGTCCTTCCGCCCTGATGATCCGGGCAAAATTCCTTCTGCTCACGGCGGGCTGTCATATGGCAGTGCTCAGCTGTCTCGGCCACAAGGAATGGCGCTTTATCCTGTACGTGGTTCCGGCCCTCAACGCGGTCAGTGCCGGCGGCGCCGAAATGCTCACGCGCAGCGCGGTCCGCAAGGTTGCCTTGGTCACACTGCTCGCGCTGCAAATTGGCCTGAGCTGGTTATCGGGCTACCTGAGTGCCATCAACTATCCAGGCGGACAAGCTCTCGACCTGCTGCACAGACAGCTCGCCTTGGAGCCTAGCACGGGTCCGGTTATCGTCCACATAGACGTAGCAGCCGCGATGACCGGTGTCTCGCTCTTCGAGTCCCTGAACATGCCTCGTGACAGATCGAATGGGCTGGTGGATCGATTCGCCGGCGTTGTTCCCTCCAACTGCGAAACGCACGGATGCTGGATGTACGACAAGACCGAGGATCTACCCGTTGTGGGACCTCAAGCCGCCGAGGCATGGAGCAAGTTCACGCACCTCCTCGAGTACTCTCGCGAGTGTCGCGTGCTGTTGTCGTCTTCGGATGCGACGGCAACTCCTCTGCCGGACGATGAGCAGCCGTTTGAGCCTCTCACACCCCCCGTCACCATGTTCGCCGGTTTCCGACGCAAGACCGTTGCGCATATTCTGCGGCACCTCGCGAGTGCTCCCAGGGCTATAGTTTCGGCTCTTCTCGGCTCATCGCAAGGTAACTCCCAGCCTAGTCCAATGCGGCTTCTTCTCCCACTAGACATCCTAGAGGAGCCGGCGATATGGCTCTGTCGGCGCAAGGATGTGAAATAGACTGCCTTGTAACACTGCCGGCTTAACAAATATTCCGAAAAAAATCGTTGTGAAGCTCTACGGGCCGCGGAACCCTGAAATGCAGCTCTTGCTCCACACCGCTTTGGCCGACTTACGACCCGCCAATGTTCTTGAGACGCCACCTCTCGCCCACCTCCCGCCCACCCACATCCACTCTCTGACACGTTCTCAAGCGAGCTACCGGGCCTCGTATCTGCCACTCAGCAACGTTGGACTGCCTGTTCTTGCATCGCGGTACACCGCACGAATAGCAGGAATGTCACAATCGCAAGCGGAGCTTCGCCGGCAAGGCAAGCACGAAAAGGCGCGCGCCAAGATGATGGAGGACTTTGAGCGCCAAAAGGCGGACCTGATCAAGGAGGCAGAGCGCAATCGCACAGGCGCAGACCGCTTCGTCGGCAAGAACGACACCATGGAGGACGCATTGAAAAAGTCGACGATCGGTCTGGTGCATCTCGAGGACTTTCAGAAGCTGCGCTCCGAGCTGGAGGAGGAGAAGCGCCGCGAAGCAGCGCAGACCAACGAGCTGAAAGCGGACGACCGAGCAGCCAAGAAGAAGAAGTCGGCTAGAAAGGAGCGTTCGAAACTCTCGTTTGCGCTCGACGAGGAAGAGGAAGACATTGCTGCATCGATACCCACCAAGACCAATCGCAAGAGACCCTCCAACGACGACGGCGATGAGGAGGCAGAGATCGTGGCGATACCGAAGAAGACGAGCCTGAAGAATCCGAATGTGGATACGTCGTTCCTGCCGGACCGCGATCGGGAGGAGGCGGAGCGTCGGATGCGCGAAGAACTGCGCCAGGAATGGCTGCGCAAGCAGGAAGAGATGAAGAAGGAGGACGTCGAGATCACCTACTCGTACTGGGACGGCACAGGTCACCGCAAGACCGTCATGTGCAAGAAGGGCGACACGATTGCGCATTTCCTCGAAAAGTGCCGCCAGCAGGTAACGGAACTGCGCGGAATCTCGGTGGACAGCATGATGTACATCAAGGAGGACCTCATCATCCCACACCACTACAGCTTCTACGACTTTATCGTCAACAAGGCCAGAGGAAAGTCCGGTCCGCTGTTCAACTTTGACGTGCACGACGATGTGCGGCTCATCGCCGACGCCAGTGTCGAGAAAGACGAGGTGAGTAGCTGCACACAGCTCCAGCTGATCGAGTGGCTCTTATATGGCAGCCCACTGACCCTCTCTGTATTTGTATCCGTGCAGTCACATGCTGGCAAAGTGGTGGAGAGGTCGTTCTACAACCGGAACAAGCATGTCTGGCCGTACAGTCGTAAGTGTTCTCACTCCAACCGCAGCTTCCGGCCAGACAGCATGACTGACGCAGCTTTCTTGTCACCCTTTTCCGCCACATTTTTGACAGGATGGGAGGTGTACGATCCGAAGAAGGAGTATGGCAGCTACACGATCCACGACCGCAAAAAGTGAGCCCGCATCGTCCCCTAATCATAGCAATACGAGCATACAGTGTTGTATTTGCAGCATTCACTAATCGGCAGCGTGGACGACGTTCCAGCCGTCTTGCGCGAGAGCCTGACACGCGCTGTCAAAGTCGGTCTGCTTGACGCAGATGTAGTCGGTGTCCCAGGTGGACACGGCAAAGATGGATATCGAGTGTGCGGCGAGGCATTTGCTGAACTCGAGCAGGACGCCTACGAGGTGGAACTGCATTGGGCCTCGGATGCGGAACGCTCTCCATGGGCCGTCGATGCCAAACCCGTCAGCCTCGGCTTCTGGTCCGGGCGAGCCTAGTTGCGATCGGAGCTCCGATGTGCTGAGGTGCGTGCCTGTGGAGACAAGGATGCTGAGCTCGCGATGGGTGCGTGAGACGGTGCAGAAAAGCGGCTCACCGCCCTCGACAGCAGGAGGTTTCGAGATGAGCTCCAGCAGCGGTGTTGGCAGTCGCGAGTTGGGCGGCAGCCGAGCCAGCATGTACTCGTCCGGCTGCACGAGCACTGTCAAGCAGGAAGACGTATTCACGGCTCAGTTAGCGCCACAAAGGCGTCACAGGGTCATCGTCGCAAGGGGGATGCTCACCATCTAGATTCGGATACTGCGACTTCTTCGACTGCCAGTTCTGCGCCGCCTCGCGGTCATTGATGTTGCCTCCGTTGGCAGCAGACATGATTCCGGTTCCTGAGTGGTGAGCAGCGGGTGTCTTCTGGTAGAAGGAGAGGAGAAGGACAAAAGTCGAGGGGGCCCTCCTTTTGTAGCTTCCGAGTGCATTGACGGCGAGAGTCCCAAAAGTGTGCCTCGAAGCAAGGATTCCCTGCCCTTCCGTTCCGACCTGCAGCTTCAAAGATGTGCCGCGGAGGTGGAGGGTTTGCGCGATACGCCGCACGGGAGTTGGGCCAAGCGACCAAGCGCGCGTTTCGACGGCGTCCTATTCTGTCACAGCTGCTGGCTTTAATCTAACATGCGAATGCTCCTAAAAAAGGCGGAGCGGACGCGAAGCGAGCGGAATTGGACCCGTTTTCAGCGCCCAAAACGCGGCACGCACGGCTCATGCCGAGTCGAGGCTGCATCGCCCGACAGCTCCTTTGATGCAGACTGCCGACACTCTCCATCCAATCCCGCTTGTCACCCAAACCCCCTTCGACCCGACGGACCACTTCCTTGTGCGGGTTGCGACGCACGGACTTGTACCAAAGCGTGGAGCTTCGGGCAAAGGGATCCCTCGTACGAGTGCAGCGCGTCTGCGTCCGACTCGGCCATGTCGCAGTCGCAGCCAATCAACCCGGACGCCGGCTCGTCCGCAACCCTAGACACCAGGAGCCGCGCCAACACATGTGCGAGCCTCTCAGCTGCTCCTCTAGGCACGTCGTATCGCTCGACGACTGGAAGCTCGGTCGTGTCGAACGGCAGCTTGCTTGATCTATACGCGCGATCGCCGGGCTCGTTTCCCAGCTCTGCCGAGACGCCGTCGCACATCAGTGCCAGCTCGACGATCGGCAACGCTTCGATCCCGATGCAGGCGTCCGCATCGACCTCGTCGTCAAACGGAATCCCAGCAGTGTCAGCCACACGCGGCTTTCAGGCACCTGGCAACGACGCTGTGCCAGCATCGACCGGCTTCTCCATGGTCCCGAGCGACAGCAACGCTTCCATCTGGACAACTGCCTCGGCATCTGCAACCGAGTCGCTTCCTCACAGCAAGCGTGCCTCGGTGGCAGGTTTTGATGTCGATGTGATGCGCAGCATCCAGCCCGCCCTGAACGCCGACACGCTTGATGCGGCGCGAACCAACGACCTCCCTATGCCCCCTCGCATTGGAGTCGAGGCGCCACAAGACGACAGCGATGGCTCGCACTACGATGACGAAGAGGTCCTTAACACCTCGACACATGACTCGTTCGACCGCTCGGCGGATCGCACCATCGAGCCTCCTCATACAAGTCACCCTGCAACCGCGGCGGATGATGAGGAGGAGGTCTTCTCCAACGCGCTCCCATCTCCCCCCGTTCCCAGACGCACGAGCAGCGTAGCGCAGGACGCCTTCACGATCTCACCTAGTCCATCTCAAACGGAGAATCTCAATCAGCAGGATGGCACGCTTTCCCGGCACACAGCATCCAGATCTAGATCCGGCTCAGGCCAGCTTGGAAGTAGCCAGATTCCGCAAAGGCGAAGCAGCGCCGACCACCGCGACGACTCGCTCCACCAGCTGCTCCAAAGCGATGACACAGGTCCTACCCCTCCTACACAGGAGGCTAGCAGCAGCAGCAATGCTCCTCGAGACACTTCAAGCCCGACCAAGCGTAATCTGCTCGGCGCTGTCAACGAGCACACGCGTCTTTCGACCGACGGCAGCCGATCGTCGCACGAGCCCACAGAGGACGAGCAGCAACGACTGGAAAAGGAGCTACTTGCCGAAGCGGACGACTCACGCCCGCGTACGCTCAAGGAGGCACGCGAACGCGCAAAGATGCGCAGGCAGCAGAGCGATACCGTTTCTCCTCTCGCGGGCGGTCCGACGAGCGGCAGCACAACCACGAGTCCGCGCAAGGGCGCTTCGCTGCATGTGCGCGACGTCGCCTCTTCGGTCGTCGGTGGAGCGATCGACGAGGAAGTCGCGCGCAGCAGCATCGACTCGAGGGACCGCCCCGTGCGCAACCCAAAGCGGCTATCCAATCGAGATCGTACTGGCGCTGCCGACCAGCGCTCGCTCTCGGAGCGCTCGGCTCCCTCGGACTACTCGCACGACTCGGACGGCGAGGGCGCTTTCTCGTTCGATCCGCCGCCACAAGCTGCTGGCAACACGACAGCCAGTGCGGGCCTCCCCACCCAAGGCTCTGGCATGGACGACCTCACTGCCGCGGTGAGCAATGCGATGAACGATCTGAGCTTCGGCAGTGCGGACGAGACCATCTCGGCGGACGAGGAGCAGGCAACGCCGATGCCTCCGCAGACGCAGACCGCGGCGCGGCAGGTGATGCCTGCCTCGCTGCCGTCCGCGCGCAGCCTGGCGGGTGTGACGGGCATCAGTGTTGCGCAGGCGGGCGTGAGGTCGAGCCCGCTTGCTTCGCCTGCCAAGCACGCACCTCCGACGCCGCGCACTCCGCAGACACCCAGCGGCTCTTCGTACTTCCCCGCCGCCAATTCGGCGCAGTCGCTATCGATGGCGCCGCTCAGCTCGCCCGTGCGTCAGCGC